AAAGACACAAGTGACCCCCCTTCCGGCCCCGGATACCTATAGAGCTCAGTAGCCCTTACTTGGGACATTTTCCCTGATCACGAACGCCCTGCATACTTTAAGGCTCTAAGTTTCAGGATGGCTTCCTTCTGCGGAACCGACAACTGCAGCAACCATAGGCCACAACCGCCACGAGTCAGCCCGGAAAGAACGAACGGACGAAGCTACAGCGAGAGCCTACCTGTGAAAGAGACGGAAGAGGGGGCGGTACAGACCCGCATCACCCAACGGGCCGTCCTCTTCGGCCTGCGGCTCCTCTGCCACCCTTCGCGAGTAGCTGCCGGCGGCGAGCTTTAATTCATCACTGTCCTGAGCATTGCTGGCGAGACAAAACCTCCTACAGGTAGTGATTTCAGAAATACCTCACAATATCGAATCCCTGGCACCACCATTACATCAGCACCACCGTCATCGCGGTGATGATCATCATCAACCTCATCATCATCGTCATCGTGACCACCATGAGTTAATGACCATCGTCAACGTCATGCTTTGGGGAGAGAGTTAGCGGCTTCTTGTCTCTTCGCCGCTTTGCCTTCTTCTCATCCAATCTTCTGTTCATTGCCGGCTTGTGCTGACGGTCACTTCTGCTGCCAGGGTTGATACTGCCACCTGCGACGTTGATCTCAGAGCCTCTGACGCACTCAGCAGTCCAAGAAACAATGGTGTTGCTGCACTAGGATGTTGGGCTGAGATGTGCGGGACTGCAAAAGCACCAGCAAACAAGCCCCCGAACACAGATGGTTCACGGAGAAGTGTGGCTGCAATTGCAGACTGCTCAAAGCATCCAGATGATAACGCAGCACCAAGCCGAACAACCGTGAACTGTCCTACCTAACTTTGGTCGATCGCGGCCACGGCACCATTTATGTGCCTCCAGAGACGAAGACCATGTCCCGACCGGCCAGCGCACCCGAAGTTATGTGAGGGCCTCCGTCTCAAGCCCCACGCCCGATGCAGTCGTCTGATAAGAACTTCAAAGCTAAATCTTTAGTTGTAGCTGGTATGTTGAACCCTAGGCTTGGCTTTCGAGGCCCCTTAAGCATGACCCCACCTCTGAAACTGTACTGCCTACAGTGCTTTTCCCGGGCTGCTGCCTCCCCGGAACGACAGCTTCCGAGCTGCAACAGCTGCGGAACACGAAGCCTCTTGGCAAGCTCTGGTGAAATGAAGAGTTTCTTCCGAAAACTAACTCCAGCGCAAGATTTCGGTAAACCCACGAATGTTTACCTCATAGCTTCATGGCGTAGTGTTGAGCTGCAAAGAAAGTAACAGACTTCCAAAAGCGTGCCGTGATAAAGAGACCTCGACAGACAAGACTGTGCCTGTGGAAGCATGTCGTATACAGTTTTAGGCCACACAAGCATTGTGAAACAATTATCATTCAGCACTATAGGTCCTAAGGCTCCCCGGAATCTCTGAAATCGTGTAGCAAAGACACCGAATGTCTGCTTCATCTACCCGGCACCTGCTTCTCGGAATTCGCAGATGAACAACAAGCGACTCCACTGCTTGTGTCCACAAGACTAGGGTATGATGTCGGTGCGATTACGAGCCTAGCTGTGACTGTTGGTCTCAAGATGACTCTGCTAGCTTCTAGCTACCACTGTCAGCGTGATTGTTGCCAACATTTTTGATAGCAACAAAACGAACCACGTGTATTACGATGTTTGCCGGCTAATTCTTGTCCAGAGCGCCGCAGCCACATGAACTGCACCACACAGCAAACCGATCGGAAACTCAACGCATCCACACGGGCAGCTTTTTGTTCGGTGAAAGCGTCGCACGCTTCGTGGAGGGGAGATGCTATGCACAAGCATTGAGAGTAAACGCCCCGCCAGCAGTACCCATAGTCCAACCTCCCCTCAAGTTTAACTGAACGGCAGTACAACTCAAGCGTCTGACTCAAAGTCAACACCGGCCCTGTGAGGACTCGAGCATGCAGCTTGAATAGCTTTTCGAAACTTGCTTTGCCCACATGCCCATCTTCTAGCTGAGATGTTAATATTAATTTGTTAAGTTCAACTGTGCAGGTTAAGGAAGGCTTACAGAGCCTGGACGAAGTTGAAATCCGTAGGCATGTACCGAACAACAAAAAGAGGAAGCTCCTTTCCACGTTTTGATGCTGCAATCCCGGGGCATGATGAGCCGAAGTTATGCTCATCCAATGTCCCTGATACCTTGGCTCCCACACCCACCCTGACTTGCCACTGCTTGTGCTTCTCCTGTGGTCCGTCGCAGCCGGGCTCTCAGGGTGAACTGGAGATGAAAATCTTACATTGTATGTTGTATGTGCGTATCTACGTAGATATAAGGCCTTTTCTGAGCTGCTCCCTAAGAGCCGGGGTTCTCCGATAGCGCTCAGCAGGATGAGCGCTTGGGGGCTCGCGGCCCAGCGCTCGCCGAACTCCTGTTTATGGTTCAGGGCTTCGAGGGTTTAGGGTTTAGGTAAAATCTGCTATATCATAATACAGTATAACCTGGTGGTGTAGACTTTCAACTGCTAGGGTTTATGGTTTATTGTTCCAAGCATTTGAGGTTTAGGATTCCAAGGCTTGGGTCTATATGAAGGTCTTCAAAGGTTTTTCTTAACGGGCCTTTCTTCCGCCTGCAGGTATGTTAGCTGAGACAAGCCCTCTGGGCAAATGTTGCAAAATGCAAACCCTCACAACTGGGCTTCAAAGGTTTAGGGTTGAGGGTCTCAGGTTCAGTGCCAGCTGCTCGTTCGGCTGTTGCATGTCAACAACAGGCGTGTACCCTGTGGCTTCGAGCTTTCGTCCGGGATCATCTACTGTGACCATGAGCTGTTAGTCTGAAATCCGAGCTACCCTGCAACGGTTTGGGGTACAAGCCAACGGCACCGCAAGCCCCAAACCCTAAGCTTTAAACCTGAATGCATGACCGTAAAGGCCAGATGGAAGACTACATGTGGCCTAAACGCCCCATAAGCGTGAAACATCTCGGCAAAATTCTCCCAGCTGAGACGGACCCCAGTGCATTCAAGAACGTCAGCGATCCTGTGTGCGGAACCTGCACACTCCCGATCATCTGCATCCGAAGTAGCCAGCGGCGTTTACACAATGCAGCTTAGCCCTGGTTCTTCGCGAGCCAATACCAGCATGTGCGCACTACTCACACCGAAGCCAGCTGCACGCCGGTCGTCGAGTGTAGGCAATGTGGGAAGGCTGACCATTGCTCGAATATGCAAGATACCGCATTGGACCCAGAGATGGATCTGCCGCCGATCAACGGGGCTCCTTGCCCGAACTGGATTTCCACATCTTGCACGCACTGCTCGCTCTTCCCCCTGGGGAATGAAACCTAGGTTCAGATCTGGATTGTCGGCTCCCAGTGCGTGCGGCGAGGCGGCTCTTCATAGCGACAGACAGCCTGCCTGAGGCACAATGGGGATGCAACTGTGCGCGTGCCGCAGACGAGAATGGGTTGGGAGCCCTTCCGTCCTTCAACACCTGCACACCCTGAAGCTCGAAAGCCCTAAATCCGGCTCCTGAAACCCTAAACCCTCAACCTAAACATAAAAGAGCCCTACAGCAATGCCCCACAATGGTGCCCGCGAGCGCACAAGAACTTCAGGCACCTTCGTCTACTCGCAGGCGGAGGACTCCGGCGCGGGAGTCTGCAAACTGCGGCACGAGCGGGATGGGGTCCTGAAGCTTTAGAGTCCAGCGTTCTTTTTGGAGGGGGGGGGGGGGGG